GATCGATATCATAGAGATCACAGTCCTTTAGGGAATATTTTCAGTAAAACAGAAAAGGCTCTTTTCTTCACAACGTATTTTTCTTGCACGATCTCCAAAATTAGCAGCGCGCGTGTAGCGCAGTGGTCGGAGGCGCCATGCAATACAAATAGGAACAATACCCGTGGCACGGCTCAACACCGTACATCCCACCAAGGTCGGCAAATTGCTACCAGCTTTGTCTGAGAGGATAGCAGCACTCGCTCGATACATCGATAGGGCTTCGCAGTCATTGTGAAGGTAAGGTATGCATTCAATCTCCTCGAACGATGCTTAGTGAAGTCGAATGCATAGAGCATCCCTCAAGGATAGATTACCGCCGACAGCTTTTTCATTGCTCTTATCCTCAAGTTGCTTTCTAATAGCTATCTCATGCTCTTCTTCGTGCCTGGCTAAATAGCACTATGTAATGCATTTGCATGCTAGTAGCGGCATGCTTGTAAAAATCATTGTTTGAATAGTCGTCCTCTTATCTCATTATATGTTAACACCTGTGCGTTAGCAAAAACACTGGGTCGAAGCGAGTAATGCCGACTTCATTAGCATTCACCTTTGTTCAAAATTTAGAATTCGTCGTAAGCATTCTGCGCCAACACTTGCTCTGAAATTGTATCCTATGTGTCACTTGCTCCTCCTATTACTTCAAAATTCATTCTAATAGAGTGTTACAAAAACTGCTTCCTTATTTCCAATGTAACGCTTTGATCTCTTTACTCCGTTTGAATATAGTTAACATTATTGTTATGTATTCTTTCTTTGACGAGCTTACACGAGGTTGATAATGTTTATTTTCGGCTAACGTTTCGACGCCTTCGTCTTCCTCAGAGCTGATGATCCGAGTCGATGGTCCTCGTTTGTTATTCGTCTCGACGTGGCTGCTTCGCCTTCTTGTCGAGTCAGGTCTTCCTCAGTGAGCCATCTCCTGGAATGAGGCATCCTTACTAAGTGATGCCGTTTTATACACGATGCTGATGGTGGATATAATGATAATGTCCGGTGATAACAACTTGTTTTTCTTCCGGACATAATCATCGCGCACATCGTGCCGACGTCGGTGTTATTATCAGCTAGCACAAAGCGTAGTGATATTTCGAAACCGACTTTCCTTAAACCTCGGTATCACTAACCTCGATATGTATTCTTTCTTTGATAAGCTTACACGAGGTTGATAATGATGATAGTTAGCATTATTGTGTTACTCTATCTAAGTATAAAGCTTTAATTACCCATGTTTGAGGTGTGGTGTAGCACATCACTCATTTCTACGCAGCTTTTTTGCAGCTATGACCACTTACATTAAATCCAAATACATAAATAATAGCTAGTATGACATGATAATATCTTCGCACTTATTATCACTACTCAGTACTGCATGCTGATAGCATATTTTATAGTAACTCAGCTAAAGATTACAAGCTGAAAGTACGAAATTTGGGCTGTTTTAGCTTAGCTTTAGCTGGGGCAATGAATGTGAATTTAGCCTTTGTTTACGACGAGAGCAGGAAGGAAATCTTGTTAGCGCTTTGTAGTCGTTAAAGACACGTCGACTACTCTCATGGTGTGGTGAGCATAAATAGCACGAGGATACGCGTATGAAATGAAGTATGCAAGTATGCTGCCGTTGTAAAATAACGATAATCCAAAAAATCCAGTTAGTCGTCCGAAGAAAATAGCAAGGTGATGTATCCTCGGTGAACACTGCTGCCAGAACGATGAGTGTAACAGGCGAAAAGACAAAAATTTAAGAAAAGTGAGTATTAGGCTGACAACGGAATTCTATTACGAAGTGACCCATTGGAAAATTGACACTCACTTAAATAGTCGAGTTGCTTGGCCAGTTCTCATGAACGGCGAACATTCGTGCATATTCTAACGCATAGATTTCCACTCCACTGAAATTTTCTGTTTGCGATATAAATCGTTTTCATGGAGTTCTTCAAGGTCGTTAACACTTGAGAAAGCTATGATCTATTCAAAATCAAACTAATGTCAATATAAGAGTCGATGGCTATCGATATATGGAAAGCTTCCACCCTTTGATAATTACTTATTCTGGCCCATTTGGCATGAAATTCAATGGCTGTTTTGAAGAGAAACTATTTCTTCAAAGCTACTGCTGTAATATCCCATCCTCGATCCGGAGGACAGAGAGCTAATCTAAACGGAATAAATTTGAAATATACGGTTAATGAAGACAACGCTTCTAAAGGAATCCACCAACAATTCGCTAGTCGATTCTCGTTTGTTTGGGCAAATATTTATCGCATTGTAGCCCAAAGCTATTCTGCAAAAGGTCCGGAAATTTGAAAGAAACCATCTTATAACTTCAATGAAGCCGAGATACAAAACTCCGGACCGGACAGATACTTGCAAAACTCCGGAAACTCTGGTCTGCGCAGACACCTGCGGTCCCGAGTTTTGCAAGTATCTCAGCTTCATTGAAGTTATGTTTTGCAGTATACCCTGCCATTAAAAAGAGTAGGCAGTAAATAAAACGGATAAGATTGTGATTAGAAACGATCTTAGTTCGGTTTATTTAACCATAATAAACCTCGGGTGTGACAGTTGACGTCGAGGCGAGGAACTCCCACTGTTAAACATCGCACACTGACCACCATGCCAGAAGCTAAACCTTTTTCCCGTAGCAATCTTGGTCACGCTAGCTAACTTCGTTCGCATCCATGATATAGTCACTGAGGCAAGTCTGAACAATTCTTTATTCCTCCTAAATGAGAGAAGTTGTGCTTTGGCGTTAAAACAAACGTAACGGTTTACTTTGTCAAAAGATAGGTAAGTCCAGGCTTCTAGAATTGAGCTAATAAGTGGAATACGTTCTCGTCACAGCTATACAACATTCCTACCAACTGATACACTTTCAAGGCAGCATCCAGTGCCACATTTTACTCACAACGTCAAAGTCTAGCCCGATTGTACGTCTATCTGGAGACCAGATCTTCGAAGATGATGTCACCGTGCCTTTGAAGCATTATCTTGCTACCCTATTGACGTAGAGTCCAAGTGTGGAATAAAAGGAATTCCTACCTAGACACAATTTAATTGTCAGCTTCATTAGTAAGAGTTCATTGCTATTATATTTGGCTATTAGAACATTCTTGTTCATTTCCTTTCTTCCCACCCTTCATACACAAAGAGGGCGATTGTGAGAAACATGTTTCGAACAACCACCTCTGTGTGTACTACCAGGGAACTAAAGGAAGAATCGCGCGACTTGGCTCGGCAAATAGCCATCTCCAATGGCTACGAAATAGTAACCCCACGAGATAAGTTTACAAGGAGAACGACGCGCCCACGCGAAACACTTAGCGAAAAGAAAATCCCGTTTATGTTGCATTTTATAAGCGATGAAGTAAGCGTATACCCCACTAGGCACACATAGGAAACAAAAGTATAGCGGGGACGATTTTGAAGTAAAAGCCAATATCGTTGCACAGGAGACTAAAGCACCAGTGCGAAAACTTCTTGAGGCTTTTTGGATAAATGCCAAAAACCCTACAATGAATAGCAGTGGGAATGCCCCCAGAGGTCATACGCGACCTGACCCCGTATGTTCGCATCAATCTCTGATGTGGGATGATGCAGTCATCAACCATATACGACTACAATCAGCTGTTCTAAACTTCCTCATTGGAAGTCACGAAAAAGGGGAGGGTTTTTCAAGAAGCTGTTGATCATGTAATTACCATGGAGTTTTTCGTCATTTTGTAAGTGTTATTGAAGCGTTTGGTCTAGTAGATTGTATATCAGCATACCCTTCCAGGCTCTGAAAAAGCCGATACTACCGAAACGTCAGCTAGTGTTGTACTGCATTGTGTTTTTCCATGGAAGTAAATGTATGGCGTACGATAACCTCGCGATTGTTGAACAAGAAAACGACGCATTCAAATGCAAGAAGTCCCGGAATCCACACAGTATACATGGAGACGGGTGAAATCTCGTTCTCTTAGATTTGACAAGGCTGGACATCTTTTAAAGACGACAACGAATAAGTTGAAGCAGTTAGAGTCAGTGGTGTGAACAGCTCCTCACCAAACCACGAAGTGAATTCCAATCATTAAGATAAACTTTGAGTTAAGTACCCCTGATAATAGACGTATATTTAAACTGAACAATTATCCACTCTTCCTCTGATACATGGAAGCAATCTGCTACAATAGCCGTACTCCTACCACATGCCTTCTTATGTAGAAATAGCTTCTAGTCATAGTAAGAAACGGACCTGTCACGTCCAACTGAACATTTCAACCAATACAACCCTTATGCATATTCGAAACTACTTCCAATCATCCCATCACGGCTTCCTAACCTAGACGAAGGAGGAAATCCACAAATCTAACACCATAGTCACACTAGAACCTATCGTAGAACCACCAAACCCACTACTTGGGTAATATCCCCATAAAACGAATTAAATCACATGCTAACGTAACACTCCTACTACACTCGATCCCTTAGGCACAGAAATCAGACCAAAACATACACAAACCTATAATCTCAGCGGGAAAGCCTAACTGGTGGTTTTCGAAACTCTCTTAACTTTTACGATCTCTCTTCTTAATATTAACAACGAAGCTTGTCAAAACACTTCATTCCATGCAAGGTAATAAACACGATTAATCATAAGAAACTCTAGGCAAATATAACCAAATAATGTCAACATATTTCCTATAACGTAATTTGTCGTAACACAGTAACCACTCAGTGATCACTTAAGGAAAAAACAAATCGAGCAGCAAAAGGGAAAACATGAGGAACTGGTAAACAATCTCATTTGACCTCTACAAGATAGAACAATTGTGGTAAACTTACCTTTAGAATATTATATAGTGCCCATCGGGCAGATTCTGATTAAAAGAGTAGAAGTACGAACTAAATGGTGATATTTTTCAACAGTCCTAGAAGAGAAGAACAGAAGAAATTAACACACAACAAATCAATAACCGTTAATAATCATCGCCTCTTGAAAGAACTTCCTTGCATGTAGGCCGTAGTACTAACGTGTGCTCCCACTGAGCAGTATAACACCCTTTCACATCACATAAAGGTGGATATGGATCAACGATACCCTAAAATCGATAAGCATTTGCCATTTACTGGACACAAAACGAATAACACTGCTGCGTCGTCTTTTTTCTTATAACCGCATTAAGCTTATCCCTTTCGTAACATTCTCCAAAATACAACTCATCTAAAGATAGAAATTTCTGGCAATTGACAATACCTTATCGCACAAGTCTTTTAAGGCCATGAGGTATTTGGTCTCTCCTAACCTATCGACCCATCTTCGGCAGAAGGCCAATGTTCCAAAGTTTCGATCAATCGTGTTCAAAAGGGCTTTTGAACGAGCTAACCTAAAATGCGGTAGTTTTATATTTAACCACTTTCTTTTAAACATTAACTATTGTAGAAGTGGTAGGAAGAAGCAGTAGTAATCAGCTAGAAAAACACCCCTTAACGGAATATGCTCTTCAGCCAATTCGAAGTTTTTCATGTAATGAGAACATTCCATATCGTCATGGACAAATCCTTTTCCAGTCGATCCGAACGTCTCAATTGCATAGACCTACAATAAATAAAACAAGTTTAATCAAGTTGAAAAAAACGGATCAAAATACCAATTATTTGTAAATATGGCGCGAAAAACGTGGTCCGGTTTCCATTACACTTTTAAATGATTCATTTTAAAAAGAAGTGTGGTCACTTTAGTAACACATAGAGAATGCAATGATTGGTAGGCCTGAGCTGGCGAAGGACAACCACCGGCTAATGCTATGACGAAAGATTGCACACCGCACTGACCAGGAATTCGTGACCAAATATCACCTTGAAAGGTCTCCAACATGTAAAGACATACTCAGAACCACATCATGTCAGTGAATAAAAAAATGTTACATAAAGAACCCCAAAGTCCTAAAATACCAGCTTACGACAAAAACAGTGACGACAGGACAATAATTTAAGAAAGTTCTCCTCGAGGAACCAAATGAACGCTTATGCCAATGGTTTTTTGTACATCGCAGATATTCTCTAAAGATTGAACAAATTTAACCTGCTCTACCACAAGGAGCTAATTTTGTTCCAGTGCAATAATATCTTATTCGCTTAATACTACGTCCCTACCACATTGAGCACAACAATGTTGAAGGAAAGTCAAACCTCGTTCTCCTCCATCCGGGTTTGGTCACCTCCTTTTACAATAGGTACAGTTTTACCAGCATGGATTCTAAAAAGTCCCAGAGAAACGTAGTGTTAGTGTAAACTACTTAGAAAAATCTGTTTTCTAGACGAGTGGAGCGTCTAGTAATCTAAAAATCTCAGTTTAAATAAAAGTGGGATAATAACCAAATATATTTAACATTCCTATATTCTAGACAGCACAGTGACGCAACTTACTATTCTAGATATGAGATACGAGCACTGGTATTTAGCTAAACCAGAAAAGTTCCGGAACAAAGTGGAAATTATGCTGGAGGCCGCACAACCAGTGAAGACGGACCCAAGTATCCAAGTAATTAAGAAAACAGACTGCTCTGTCAATTCAATGGTGAGAAACGGTAGTTTTCTAAGCTGTTATTTCAATCTAGAACTTGTTCAGAATTAAACATCTCAAAAATTGGAACGGAAATCTGAAATTCTTGAAATTTTAACAGAACCACCGGCAGCAGCAAACACCAACAAGACATGAGGGAGCGACAACTTATTGAGGGAAAATAATGACGATGTAGCTAATTTATATAGACTGCAAAATTCAGTGTGAGACATACCGGTAAGGGCCAATAGAATGGCCGTTGAGGTTTCGGATAGGTTTGACGGTGTAAGTGCGTCCATCAAGCTCCACTTCATGTGAAGTCATAACCTAAATAATCCAGAACTGTTCGACTTCATGAAGATATGTACTATGCTGTCCGAACTACATAAGAAACTAGTACTTATCAGGATTTAAAAATGAAAGTATGAAAGTGTTTAACCTCCTCAATTATTTCACCCAAATCGCAAAGCCGAACATCGATTCCAGCTTCACGGATTCCAGCATTTGTCGCCTCTTTGACGGCGTTCACCAGATTGTCATATTTAGGATCAAAATGTAGTGTGAAGGCACTATCGATTAGTCGTCCACGAACGTGTACACCATAATCTATCTAAAAGCACTAGTTACACATTTCTATAGGAGCAGACATTGGCCAGGCTGACTCGTAGACCACGGAACCACAACGGCTAAACCAGCAAAACTCTGGAAAATGGAGAATATGCAGGAGGCCGCACAACTAGTGGATCATCCAAGTACCCAAGTATGTATACATTTCTATACATATCAGTTCACAGAGTTCTTCACCATGAAAGAAGCACTCCTTACCTTGCAGACATCACCGTATTGCAAGACAGTTGGATCACCGTTGTTAGGTGTATAGTGGGCTGCAACGTGGTTTAGTGAACAACCTGTAGGAAAGGCTAAGCCTGCTTCAAGACCGTTCTCCTTGATCAAATGTCGTGAACATGCTTCAAGACGTTCACTGGAAGTGTGTTCTCTAGTACAGCGCAGCAACAACATATAGTTGTAACAATTTTAACAAAGTCTTGTTGAAACATTTTGATCACACAAACTCATGTAAATTCACTTTTTTCAGTCTTAGCGTAGAAGAAAGTCACCCAAATTTTCAGGCTAGTAAGGAAAAATAATGCAGTTCCTTTTACCTACCAAATTTCAGTCATTGTCATTCCAGGTTTCACCCATGATTTCACATATTTTCGAACCTGTCGGTGCACCTCAGCCGATCGACGGTAATCCTATGAAAATATTCCATATAAAAACGATCACTAGTTGTACCACTGAAAAATGTTAAAACACCTGGTACATTTCATCGAACGAACTATCGAGTGCTTTCTTTTCCTGGCTACTTACACGGTCCGATGCAACTCGGCCATCCTTCCCTAAGCAATATTTGCACGCTACTGTTGAACGGAAGGACGCTTTGCGTCAAACAAGTTTAATTTTCCTAGATTGCAAAAAAGCAGTAACACAAACAGTACCCGTAATATAGTAATTCTCGCACTGCCCAACTGGATAATTTCCATCAGTGAATTGTTCATCAACGGGTGTCATTGCGGCGATTTCCGAACGCCAATCTACTGTTGGCGGTTCGCCAGGAATAAGAACACCATCAGCAGCACCATTAGTTAATGTTGCATTCTTTCCTATAAATAAAAAAACTCGATGTAATGGAATACGACGGAGTGGTGAAATAAAATTTCCATGTACTGAAAAAAAAACAAAATTTACCACTGAATGACTACCTAAGTGGAGGGTAGCGCAGTGGCAGTGATACTGCTCACAACGCGCGAGACCCAACAACCCGGGCGCAGGTTCAACCACGCCCCAGGTCCATCAAGCTTCCTATTTCTCTGGAGTTGGCAAGCTTGTCTAGGACCAGCTCATTCCCCCTATTCACGTTAGAACTTCACTATCGCAGAATACCAGGGAGATTTGACTCGATCATCACACAACGACCTTCATTACGAAGACCAAAATCATCAAACGGCAGCCGAGCAGACGTGCACAAAACTCGAAGACATTCGGGACGATGTATACGTAGGAACGATACGAACGCAAGAAGTGTTGAGGTCCTCGAAAGATATGACGGTGAGTTGTACGAAAAACTGAATAACTGTAACGAAGCGGAAAACCTTTGGTAGCAAATGTTGTACCATGGCAACGACGTCAAATTTGAGCCAACTATCAGGTAGATATAATTAAAGAAAGCTGAAGGCATTAAACAATGACAGCTACCTCCTCCTGTCCTCATATGCACTTAAAGAACATAGATATTTTGTCCCAATGTTCATCCTTCAAATAGTTGAGATGCTATTTCGTTGGTGAATAATCGAACACCTGGACTGGACAGGGTGAGACCCCAATGCCTACACAGTTTCCGCCACTAGCCTGACTCTTCACAGTTTAGCTGTGAGAATACAAGATTACTAATCAGTAGTACACCCGCCTCGCAAGACTGCGCTGTTCGAAAATGGAGACCATCGACATTAACAATACCGGCAACAGAAAGAGATCGGCAAGTACCGCCCAATATGCCTGCTATCTTCAATGGAGTCGTCCTCAACTTCTGGATTGACAAAACATTGGACGAACGACTCATGTGAACAAGAACAATTATGAAAAGCGCTCAGTACGATAGACCATATTCGCCCGATCACGAAATTCACTGAATTATCGTGACAGTATAAGAGACTTCTCGGCCTCACTTTCAACGACTACAGTAAGACATTCAACTAAGTCGAAAAGGAAACGGCCACAGAAGCTCTGGATATCCGAGGATCACTACTCAATATGCAAAAATCATTCGCTAGCTGTCAAATCACAATCAGAATATCAGCACTCCATAACGATATTGACATCGAGGAAAAAGAAAAGGATTAGATACGTGAAATAGTTTCGCTCAAAATATTTGCTGCCACCAATGTCCTTATAACATCCTACGTCATGCGAACACTAGAATGGGACAGCATAGGAGTCAAAATAGATGGTCGGCAATTACACCATCTTCGCCTTGCTGATTACACCGTCCTTATAACACCAAACATTAACCAAGCGGAACGTATGCTTACCGACTTTGATAAGGCTTGGTGGAAAACTGGTCTTCGAATAAATCTCACAAAAACGATGTTCATGAGGAACGGATTGGTTTCGTATGCCTCATTTACGCTCAACGGAACGAATATCTCCGAATGCAGTAGTTATGTCTATCTAGATCGGGAAATCAACATGTTGAACCACTTAGCTCTACAGCTGAGCAGAAGGAACGAGCGGTTTGGGGAGCTTTCAAGAGCATCGGAGATGTAGTGGAAGGTTAGCAAAACGAGACTCCGTGCCCATCTTTTCGATCCCACGATTCTTTCTGACTCGAAATAACGTGGGAAATCTGGTCGCTGGGTAAGAAGAACGAAAGGCAGCTCAGCGTTGTAGAATGTGCAATCAAGAGGATGATACTAGGAGTATCCCTCGCTAAGAAATGCGAGAGGGAGTCGGAAATTTCGACATACGTAGACAATCGGAAACCAGAGACGCCGTTATGCACGGAAAACGTCGAATATCAAGTAGACCCACAGATGATGCGTATGAGCGAGAACCGATGAACCAGAAACAGAATTTTAAGAGGCAGATATGATGGAATAAAGAAAAGACATACGAAGACCTACAGACTTGCTCAGAAAATTACAGCTAAAAATTTCAAATTCAGTTTATGGAGAAAAGCCTCAAAAAACCTAGATTGAAAAAATCAGCGATTAGATTACAAGTATATCAATATGAATATGAACAAATGATCCTGCGAAACATCGGCAAACAAAAATACTTTATAAGTTAAAAAGAAAACGCAAGTAAATCCCATGGCCACATCGAAAAGAAAAAGTACCTTTTTTCCCTCCTTTACCCTTCTTCGATTCTGCTTTCACTGCACGTGCCTCGTCCTCCACTGCTAGCTCAGCCAAAATCGCATCAAGATCCTCGTCTAGAACAGAGGTTTCTAAATTCAATACCAAAACATAAACAAGACAGGAAGCATTCCAGAATGGTATCCCTACCAGTATGAGTATTCTTTCCTTTCTTAGCTGCCCCACCTTTCTTCGACATAACTAAAATTCCTGTTGTATTTAGTTGAGCGTCAATGAAATTATACAAATGAGCTACTACAAAGTATGGAGATAAAGCACTTCTCGAAACTCAAAGAAGCAGGTAACATGACGGCTCTTTATTTTTCAAAATGTTTCATAAAATTCACATCAACTGGTACGTGGAAAGATGCCCTTGAGGTTCAACACACGGGAATATTTATTTCGTATAGAAACAAATTTGAAAACATTATTCAATAAACCAAAAGAAACCAATCGATAACGATTGCTAGCAAAAGTACCTTTGTAAACTTCAATAAATACGCCTTAATGGTATTTAGAACGTAACATCCACATATATGAAGCATAAACGATCTGGAAGTTAACATTCTTCCTATAACTGTCTACAAAACTCATAAGTTGCTCCTCAACTTCACCGAATTCGCCGTAATGTGAAGACACTTCTCCGTCATAGGATTCACCACTAGATTCGGTATCTGAGATAGTACCAAACGTATCACCCACGCACAATTTTTCATCGTCCGAAAATCGTGACTCAGAAACACGGTTAGACATACTCATTTGAGCTATACAAATAGAGCCTTTTCCTTCGTCACCGCTTCTTTCGCTATGAACACCCGTACTGGTTTGCTCCTCATAGGAATGTACCGGTAAATTCTCATCACAGTTAGTGCTACAAGCAGTATTCATTTGATTTTCTACTCCAATATCCAACTTTAGCGTAAGATCGTGACTTCCTTCAAGGTTAACCTCAACAGCCATTTCGCATCTCCTCCTTGCTTCCTTATACACATCGTACATGAATGTACTATCAAAGTTACGCAACCATGTAGTATAGTAATTCACCTTGGATGTCCATAAATCTGGCGGGTCACGAGTAGTGACCTGAAATTTCGAATGATAACGGTTAATTAAATCAAGATAATCAAGATATGAGAAAACTCGTTTAATATGAAACGGCGTGCTTATAATTTTGAATATATCGCCGAACATAACCTACGCTTTAGTAACCATGATAAACATCTGGGAAGATATCTGGACGAGGTGAACATGGCGAGCATATTAGGTCACTCGATATAAAGTATCTCATCTTGCAAAACGATCATTCTACTTTTTCACAAGGAAATAGGACTTGCTCTCTTTCATTCTAAAACAGTTGGCTCTATTTACTTGACTCCAAATATATTTACTGAGAATGACCCAACAAGTGCTATGTATTCACTTGAACCACGAGCCTTCTGAGTCTTCAGAGCACTTCAAGTTAGCGGAAGCTCGTTCTCATGCACACACCCAACATTTCCGCTACCCACAGAAATTTTGAACATTCTACGCCCATATGTGGAGCTCTCATATCCAGACTTATCAAACCTGTTGCAAAAACGATGAAATGAAGAAAATGTACCCCGAAGGCGGCATTAATGTTTCGACTCTCTACTGCTGGACTAAACCCGCTTTAAAACCAATACGGTATAGTAGAAAAATCCGGAACTCCAGAGATACACAGAATATTCGAATGTTAACAATTAAATTTACAAACATTGGGAGGTTCCCACACTGCAAAACCAAGCATTTCGCCCTGAGTAGCCTCACATAAAGCACTGCACGGGCATGATAAAAACTAATGCAAATTTCATTGAAATAGACCAATGAGGTAGAATCCAAAAGTGATTGGAGGATGACCTACCAATAGATATCTTCAGTCTATAGAACAGATAATTTTGAACCTCAATAAATTTAACAGGTGTTTACATAACTCTCATTGCACTTTTTAAAAAATGTGTAAATTGACATTTAACACGGTAAAGAAATGTCCACTCTAACGGTTAATTACAACAAAAAGCAAAGCCTAGATTAATGATTTAAGTTAGATGGAACTTTAACCACAAAGGGCATCAGTACTTACATTTCTTATTAATAAATATCACTTACCACTGGGCCAAAGCCGCCAGAAGTTACCCCCTGTTTCTTCTGATGTTCTTGGAATTCTTTGTTTATTCTGTCACAAAACGAATCAAAAGATGTTTCGAAGACTGACATTCCAGAGTATGTTCGAGCAAAAGCCAAAATCTTCGGCTTTTCCAGTTGTGCTTTCAGTCGACTGTTCATAACCTAAAAATCTAACCAACTTGCCTTTTTAAAAACTTCTAAAACGATACTGCAAGTCAGAATCGCGCCTTGAGTATGTCAAAATGGCCTTCTAGACCACGATTAGTTCAAACTACTGACGTCTGAAATATACTTTCCTTCCAGAAATCATCAACAGTTTAAAGAAAACTTCAGGTTCACTTATTCGGAAATTGCACAATAGCACTCTACAGATTATCTAGTTTGGGGACGAATTTCCAATTATTATTCCTTCATGAATACCCGGATTTCCACTGTAACCAACATTTGCTAGCACGCTTTAAAGCAATGTGTAAAGCTTCACCGTTTTTCCTTTGTTTACTTTCTCAATACATTGCTATAAAAACAGAAATAACTGCGTCCTTTAAACAAAAATGGTTTATTGCTTTTATTTTCCATCCATTATTTTTTGCAATAAAAGATGGATAAGGCTCTACCCATAGTTTATTGTTTATAAATGCTTGAGTACTGATTGGGTGCTGACATCTCATATTCTTAATATACCGTCTAATACCTCCACACGCCGCTTCTTCTCCAACTGCCGTTGTCGGCGAAGTTGTTCCTCGAACGAACAGCGCATATACTGATCTAACTGAAACGGCTCCTCAGAAGTATCCCAGCGAGCCTTCGCGTAGGAAAGCCAAACCTTGAATATTTTCAGGACAATTAACCAGACTAAACATGGCTTATCTCAGAACATGCACAGTAACTCGTATGAGAGACTCACCTTTCCAGGGATACTATTGTGGATAGCTATTAAATGCTTTCGAGAGTACCGTAGTGGACTTCTTCTGGCAAAAACCTCCTTGTTATCTGCCGTAGTGTCTATACTACTCGACCTAAATAACTTCAAATGGAATTTTTGGAAAAACTACATGGTCCAAACTCCTCATGAATGTGTGTCACCTTAACGATTCTTTAGTGGCACTCAGTTTTTTCTTCTGGCGGTTAAGGAGCCGATCGGAGGGCAGAAAAGGATCTTGAGATATGTCAAATCTATAAAAAAGAAATCTTTGAAAATCATATGAAAAAAGGAAATAATTTCGCTCACCTGGATATAGCGTACTGCCTCCATGTAGCCTCATTTAAAGACTCCCGGATCTTTAACAGCTCACCACGCATGTAGAAAAATCGTTTTTTCTTTTGAAAAGATGGAACGAATCTAAATTTAACTCTGCCCTGGCAAATCAGGATTGATTGGAATATATCAGATAAACATACTTATACTTTCTCTCCTCGACTGCTATAGGTTTCGGAAATCGCGGTTTCTCTGATTTTACTGCATCATTAACTTTCAAAACCTCGGCAGAGTCACCAGAGCTACGGGCGGGGGCGAAATGAAGACTCACATTTGGAGCTCGAGCAATCTGAAAATGCCAGTGCCTATAATAGAGAAAGTGAAGAGCAAAACAGTATAAACTAACACCAATATCGTCGATTCTCTTTTGCACCTCTTCAGTCAAAGGTAATGAGCAGCTTGACATATCCAGAAATTTTTGACGATCATAGCAAGCATGGGATTTGCAACTAATAAACATCCTCGTTAAAATTCGTACTCACAAAAAACCTAGAAAATACAACAACAGAGAAAACAAGGTTGAACTAACCTGTCCTCAAATTTGACGTCCTGGTCCATAGTGCCAGCTACAATTTGTACGGAATTGTGCGCATGTGGAGATACATGGAAACTATTTTTCTTTTCGCGATTTTCGTTAACACTGACCTGGAGTGATTAAATTCACAAATAGATTCATAGTGTAAAAGTCAAAATAGTCTCTGCACACGATATTCATTTTGGAAGACTGAAAAATCCTACAGGCTTTTGAGCCGAAATAAGCCAGCGACGTCTTAACAGCTTGGAAAGTTCTCGGTATAATTGAAATTAGTTAACATTAAAGACTTAAAATTTTTACCTGAACTGCATGAAATAAAATTATTACAGTGAAAAAAAGGATAAAGTTCTCGTCGTTGATCGACCCCTGATGGATGCGCCATGCATTCGACTTCACTAAGCATCTTTGAAGGTGATTGGATGCATTGCTGGTGTTTACAATGACCAGCGGTTGCATACCGATGTATTGAGCTAGTGCTGCTGTCATCCCAGACAACTCTGGTAGCAATTTGCCGATCCTGGAGCGATGGAAGGCTTGGTAAGCTTTCAACGCGTAGATCGACCACATGTACATTGCACGGCGCCTCCGACCAGTGCGCAGTACCCATCCTTACTACTTATTGTTACGATACATTATCCCAAATTCAGCATGGACTATTTTACGAGTTTGAACCATGACCAACCTTAAAATGAGTGCAGGACTCGAAATAAGTTTGGTTCGTTGTCAGATCCGAAGGTACTCTTTTGGAATCTAAGATTCTAACGTTCAAGTCGCCTTCCAAGGCTACTGCTTTAAATCGACTAGTTTCTCGAAAGTCCGAAAGTACAGTTACTGCTGCTCCATAGCCACCTAAATCAATATCTATCAGTAATAAAAAATGTACCCGTCAAAACCAGTATTGACGGAGAGAAGGCGATGGGTCACAACACACCGAAACGCGCAGCCCTTCCAATTCGGTGAAAATATGTTTCTACATTGACGGAAGATCCTAGGTTAATAACTAAGTCAACGTTGATAGCGTCAATACCACGAGCAGTCTGTAAGAACAAAAAATTCTGATCCAGTTAGCATTTAGAAGAATAGGTAACTTAGCTCACAGCGACTTACCAGATCGGTAGAGACGAGCACTTTCAATTTATTTTGCTTCAATTTTTCGATAACAGCATCGCGTTGGGTTTGGGACAATTGAGCAGAAATGCAGGCTGAGAGAAATCCAGCGTCCTCTAAGTGAACACAGGTGGGTTCACATCTGAAGTAGAACGTGGAAATTTAACGATGCTATACTTCAACAATAACTCACTGTTGGTGGTGATTGCAGAAGATTAGGGCTTGGTTGAAGTGCACTGATTTTAGTAAGCGATGAACGAAATCGAGTGCTGGTTCATTGCACATCACGACATACTGCTTAATCCCAATAAGTTGCACATCTTCTGTAGGAACAGCAAATTAAGGGCCACCAAAACCTCTACACTTAACCACAACGAATTTGACACTTGAAGTGATAAAAGTGGCTTGTACCAACCAGAATTTAGACGCACCAGTGAAGCATCCCGCATGAATTTTGTCAGAAGTTTATCCAAATCTCTAGGGTACGTTGCCGAAAACACTGCTACTTGACGTGAAGGTGGGAGAGCAGAAAATAGGTAACTGAACAAAGAATCATATCATTACATGAATAGGGGAAAAAACTCTTCGTCACAAAACTTGTAAGAAAATTGCTGATTCTGGGGAAGCTTACTCTCCTACTCCGTTCCCTTACTGTGAATAAGATCCCGTTTGCGGAACAACTGTTGAAATTTTCCGCTCAACTTTTTTTTACCATACTTACCTTCTCCTCTCGTTACCTGGATATTTGGATGGCCCGTCTTCATTGGCTGTGTAGTCCCCGTCACAATTTGAACTTTTACTTTCGGATCTTTGCTGGCTTAGCCATTGTGGTTCACTGGAATCCCGAGGTTAGTCTAGATAGAGTCTGCCTCAGGTCGTCACCACCACAGGCAGTAGCCGCCCTTGTGGATCAGAGGGAGATTTAGCACCACGTGACTAGTTTGATACCAGGACGGTGGTGGATTCTGGTGTTCGTTTACTCTTAGCTGGGCTTCCTGTGGGAACGCCGCACTCCTCAGCATGGGAGGCCCTATCGGAGCGATGAATCACACTGCTGTGCTGCTCGACACACAGGAACACCTGGCAGGCACCATGAGGCGGTAAACCGTTAAACCGTTCTCTTCTAATAGATGAAAACACGCATTGCGGATAATTTCATCAAAAGAGAATAAAAGCTTACTTGATATCTTTCTGGAAACAATCGTCCATAAGCTTGTCAGCTTCATCAAGAACAAACAAGTCTATGCAGTCCATGTTAAGGTTACCATTCTGCACCATTTGACATATCCTTCCAGCTGTGCCAACCACAACATGAGCACCTCTCCTAAGAGCTTGCACATCCAAATGTACAGGAGTCCCACCAACTAGCAAACTGGTAAAAAAAACAAGTCATTATAAACACTAGGTGTAAATGAGAATAGCTAATTAAACACTTACGCAATCCGCGTTTTGAAGTGTGCAATCATTTTTATGGTGTCTTTGATCTGGCTGGCGATTTCCCTAGTGGGAGCTACTATCATTTTTTGTACTTCATGGGACTGTAGATTTAAATTCTCAACAGCCAGTATGGAAAACACAAGCGTTTTACCAGTTCCAGATTTCGCTTGGACCAGCATATCTTGAAAAGTTTCATGTTTCAAAGAACTAAAATCACGTTGCAAAATGAAGCTTTCACCTAAGCCAGTCAATCCTGTGGGAATAGCCTTCATCTGTACCGGTGACGGTATTCGATAGCCATGATTTCGAAGATTTACTATGGTAGATGGTGAAATCATCAGGGACTCAAATGAGCCCTGAGTTTTTACATCGTCAGTTCGGCGGTTGTAATCATCCACCTCAATCAATTCTTGAAATTTCATGGAGCATGGGACAGAGTGCCAAGAATAGTCCTGAACGACTCATATATCACCAAAATCCATTGTAAAAAGACGCATGAACATTTCCACGAAGTTAAACCAATTGTGCAGAAAGATCTAATTTGAGATTGAACCGCCATTCTGCTGATTTCAAAGAACTTTTAGCTTAGTTCTCATCAAATTGTGTAATGGTTACTCTGCGATGTTACCCCTAATCACTTTGTTATCGAGTTCTTTCAAGGATAGCGAGAATTTCTGGCATTCGCTTACCCTTAGCTGGATTTCTGCGTAGGTATATGAATTAGCCTGGAGGGATCAGTGAGTCAAGGAGTCGCACGCGATATGTCGCAGTTAGAAACCGAACAAAAGTCTTCCCAAATGAGTATGGCAACACTTGTTAGCGAAATCTGCTCCATATATAGATCTCCCTTTACGTCACAAACTGTTAACGTTTCTCTCCAAATATACGAAGCTGTAGACCAAAAACACTACCTTGAGTAGTTCTACGTTAATAAAACGTCACGGAAAGAGCGCGTGCAGCGCAGTGGTCGGAGGCGCCCTGAAATATACATGGCATCGATCCCTGCGCACGAGGCCCACCAAGTCTTCCCTTCTTCCCGAGTCGGAAAATTGGTATCAGACTTGTCTGGGAGGATGGCAGAACTGGCTCGATACACCGGTAGGCCACGGCGATTCATCGCAAAGACCAGATATGCATTCAATCACCTCCAACGATGCTTAATGAAGTTGAATGCATGGCGCATGTCCCAAGGACTGACTAACGCCGACATCTTTATCTCTTGTGTTTTAAAATGGCACGAAACCAGTGTATAAATTTGTGTATAAAGTCATCACATGACTTGAAGTCATATTGTGGCCATACATGGACAGTTATTCTCCTAAGATCCACGAAGAAGGAAGTATCACAACAAAAAGCAGAACTTTTCAATTTAATTGAAAGAGCTTGGATAAGAAATAAGCATATAAATCCAGAACCCATCTAGGATGTGATAAACGGGACTTGAGAAAGAAGGCCAAAGAAATGCTGATGGTTGCACGATTCCTCTACGTTCGGGCTAAAGGGTGGAGAATGCCATGGAGCAAGAAAACAGCAATAGAGCGCGTAATTATTCTTGTCAGTAAGGCGTTATTGAGGTGGCCTTCCGTTGCTGAGGCAATGCAAGAACAACTAAGTACTAGTTATTTAATCCGTAGAAGAACATAAGTAGCTGTTATATTTATATATCAAGGTCTGTGCAACGCAATTTTAGGGGTGCCGTTTAATCGATCCTGGCTCGACACCGCCATGGACCAATGAGGAATCTCATCCATCCGGATTTCGGGGAAGTTGTACCAAATTTGTCTAGGATAGTTCTTCCGAATCATTAAACCCTGGAGCGTCATAACATGGCTACCCAAAGATTCGAGGGAGAGTCAACTCGACCAGCAGGCAATTCAACGACATTCATAAAGGCCAACAGAAATCCTCCAACGGCAGCAGGGCCCACAGGCAAATCCAAAGGCCTCCGTGGATTATGGATGTGAGGGAAGCAGTCGAATGAAAATAGTGCTAGTATCCGCACAATTTGTTACGCCATCTTATCCAAAATAAAAAAAAACCAGAACAAAATTGTCTTACCATAATGACGCTGAGATATTTGCAAAATTGCGGAACGTAGGTGTATGCGGTGGGGAACGAACGCGCTATTACCCTTTTCGGGGCTAACACGTTCAGCCCTCACCATGCCGTCCTTTCGTTCGGCGTGTCTGTCAGCTAGTTTTCCATCTGCCAGTGTCATCGACAATCATCCGTCAGCGGGACTGATCTGGGGAGCACAAATCGGCGTTGAACCCAGTTGAGCTGAGGCCATAGTTGAAATCACAATGTCAACATTTTATATGATACTTATTGCCTATTTGGGCTCTTCAGATCATTCCATTTGACGGGTGATTGCCGGTGGCACTGGTAGATGGGAAACTAGCTGACAGACACGCCGAACGAAGAGACGGCATGGTGAGGGCTGAACGTGTTAGCCCCGAAAAGGGTAGAGAAGAGAAAACGACTGTGTTGGTTTGGTTTGCCGATTTGGGCTCCCTAGATCAGTGCCGTTGACGGGTGATTGCTGATGGCGCTGATCGATAGAAGTAGCTCAGAGACAGGCGAAACGAAAGACCCGCATGGTATGGTGGTGAGCGCGTTACTCCCCGAAAAGGACAATAGCGCGTTCGTTCCCCACCGCAGACATCTGCGGTCAGGAGTTTTGCGCGTTTTCACATGTAGCTCTATCAGACTGTGCTAGTAGAAAAACCTCTAGAACCTCTCTCCAGGAACTGTCATTAGTTCCATCTGGCAAAGCTCCACCCACTACAAAAGTAGTACAGACAGCCCATAGCCATTCGCCTTCAAGTGTTCGCAGTGCTCGTCCAGTGTCCATCCAGTTCGTTCATATCGCCTAACTCGTCCATATACTTCGCCTTATTGTTATTGTCGCTATTGCTACTATTATCATAAAAGTTGTAACCCAGCGTTCAATTCAGCGACTTACACACAAAGGATCCACGTGACAGCTACAAGGACTAGTATTCACAACGACTTGGTATTCACATAAAGTTAGGAGCTCAACGCCGCAACACCAACCGTACGTTGTTCACATGGATAGGTAACGAGCCACTCTCACGTTAAAATATCGGTCGGAAATGTTGTGTAATATCTCGTCTGATAATGAGGTATTCCTCCACACGAATCGTTTATGGATTCTTGAAATTTGTCCAGAATGACTCGAGGGTATTACGCGTTGATGTTTTAGAATCATATGAGAGGATCATGACTGCTACTTCAAAATCCTCGCCTTTGTGTCTCTCTGTCCTATGCTCGTCTAGTGGAGTACTTTGTTTAGCTTTACGGTTATCGTCTAGGTGCTCTTTTATACGGACACAGTGGTCTGCGGTCTTTGCCAAAGTATTCATCCCCTAACACTTTACAATAGATCAGGTACATCGTATTCGAACTCATGCAATCACCGAGTCTACCGTTTGGGTAACTCATACAATTCTTTGTTGTGCAGAAACAGTTGTACAAACGGTTACGAAGTACCCTGTGTCACTATCGATTTCTTTAGCTCGAGAATTTTTAGGGAACGTTTTAAAGCTGTGCTCACTCCGCTGGAGATAAAGAGCAGATTAAACAGGACCTTGTTCTCGCTAGGCACATCGTTTGGAAGCGTGGTTTCTCCTCTAAACCTGTTCCGAGCAGCTATAGTCCGGTAGCCATTCGAAATGGCTATTTTTCGCTCCTGTTTCGGGTATTCCTTTTCCTGCTCTCTTCCTGTGTAATGAGCAAACACGAGTTTGTTATTACGGCACTTATTAATTCACAATAGCTGAGGTTTCGGCAGTTTCGACTTCTTAAGAGTTTAGAAAGGTCAGACTGACATGCAATCTGCTCAGTTAAACGTTTTCATAACCTCAGCAGATGAAACTTAATAAACAAAAAGAGTAAAGCTCTCGGCGTTTATCAATCCCTGAGGGATGCGCCACGGAATCATCTCGCTATGGACCGATCTGGACCTAGAGTTTGGGTACGTCGATGATTATAAATCTCAGTAGTGACTCATCGAATGAAAGAGTGCATCTATACACTAGTAATCGACATATAACGGTCCATATGGTAAGAGATAACTCAAGAAGATCTGTCCCCTTGGCATGCGCAAAAGGAGCAGAGAAGGCTTGCCAAAGTAGGTCATCCACGTAGAACTCCAACAGAATTTTAATAATATAATGGCGCTCAATGACCAAAAGAATGAAGAGGCATCATAATGGTGTTCATAACCGCCAACCTATGAAAGGTGTGATGCAGAGCTACGCCTACTCAAAGCTATTCGTGGAATTAAGCGGAACGAGGCATCTTATTCAACAAAATTATTGAGAAGCAGTAAAGAATTTCTTCAATTTTCTCCCTATGTTCTAGGTAAACATGATTTCTGTTCTCCATAGCTTACATAGATTTCGATTGCATCGTCCCTACTCAGAGATGTTTTTGAAGGCTCGGTAATGAAAATGTGTAGAAAATCCCCATGAACTAGTTCAAGATTCTGCATCAATTCTTTTAAGAACGAATGAGGTTCTTAAGAAACTTTAATTAAGCTAATATTTCAGCGCTATCGCCTTTCTTTGTGGCGCGTGTGGCGCAGTGGTTGGAGGCGCCACTACGATACAAACGCGGAACCGGTTCTCGCCCCAATGGCACACCAAGCCTTCCATCTCTCTGCGGTCGCAAATTGATACCAGAGTTGTCCGGAAGGATAGTAGCACTGGTTCAATACATCGGTAGGCCACCGCGAGTCATTGTAAAGGCTAGATATGCATTCAATTACTTCTAAACGAGCTTAATGAAGTCGAATGCATGGCGCATCCCTCAGGGAATGATCAACGCCGAGAGCTTTATCCTTTATCCTTTATCGCCTTTTTCTGTGACGTAATGATTCGGACGATTACTTCTTGTAGTTTATAACATATGAGCAGACGCATCAAGCCAAATCGGGTGAAGTGGAACACCACTCGGACTATGAACGAGTTTAGGATTGACATGCACTTGAGTTGTCACCAAGTAAATAGTGCATCTACGCTGTGAAGCAGTTAGAAAAGGCCGATCGAACACCAAGAAATGGAGACATTGTGCTGTATGTTATGAGGGGCTATCAGAATATCATGGCTTCAGTTACGCCACAAAACAGTGCACTGTTTAACATCAGATCCAGTCATTATAGGAAAATTATACTCTTAAGTCGCTTCAACAGTGTTCACAAAAGTCTGTAATATTATGCAAAACCGTCAGGATATAAATTGTAAGAGTTAACGATTATCAAATAATGTTCCTGTTAATCAGTATATATAGTCATGGAGCACTCTGAAGATGAATTGAGCATGTGGAATGTTTTTCAAGAAACACTGCGTTAAAACACATCGATGAAACCCTTCAGTGTCGAACATCAATGTGCAACTAC